CACTGCCCGAAGGTATTTTAAGGATTAGGTTTTATTTTTTATTTATTTTTTTTCCCTCTTTTTTTTTTGGCTGCCTCTTTTTTTTTTTTTTAATTTAATTTACATTTACTAATATATGGGTACTACCATTGTTTGACACACAGGTCCGATGAGAGGGGGCTTTTTTTCCTTTTAAATTTGGTAAAAACAAAATTTTAAATATATCCTACATATATTATTTCACTAAATCTTGCAATCTGTTTAGTACCAAATATAAGTTCGTGTCATGCCATGAATGGTGTACTGCTGGATTCGGGATTTCACGTTGAGTTCGTTTATCATGATCTCCATTTTCCTTTTTATTTCTAAAATAAATAGAAAACGATATAAAAACATTTTTCTAGACTTCAATACTGGAACAGTGGTAAGTCAGTGGATCGAGACGGTAAAAATTGGGATTTGAAGATTTTGATGAGTACACCAAGACCTGGTAAATTATTTTGAAATAACGTGGCTCTGTGTTTTAAAGTCCAAAAATTTACCATTTTGGAGATAATGGATGGGCTTTACGTGGTTTGCAGCCACATAAGTCAATTGTATTGCTGTCATGGCATACATTGGAATGGGTTCCTATTAACGAGAGGAGGGATTTATACTATTTCTCAAACCTGTTTTTTTTTTTTTTTTTTTTTTTTTGTCATTTCTTCATCAAATCCAATGATTGAACCTTCATTTTAAAGATTTTCTTATATTTCAGGTAGAAAAAACAGTCACATCAACCCGAAATTTTAATCAAAAAAGTTATGAAGGAAAAGAAGCTTTATTTGCAAATAACACAAAAAGTATAAATTTTGTTCAGGTCGCTAAATTCCTGGAAGAATCATGGAGATCAGACCATTATTAGCAATGATTATAATTATCGATAATATAAGAATTGATTCTTCCGTGCTATTCTTATTTTTAATAATTTTCTTATTATTTTTCATGTTAGATAGTAACTACTTAATCTTTTTGTTGCATATATTACATACATCCAGGTTGGATTTCAGTAAATAATACAGAATTTAATATTTGACGGGACCTCGGGAAAAGGAGTCATTGTTTTATTTTCACTACTCTGCTGACTTGATTATTCCCTGAAAATATTAAGTTCGTTGCCTGATTTTCCTCAGTTAAGTCGTACGTTCAAATTGACCAAGCAATCTAAGTATTCCGATTAGACTTTCCTGTGTTTTGACCCAGGTATATTAAGATAAATATTGCCACTTATGAATGAATGATGGATGAAAACGTGTTTATTATACTTTTAAAAAAATTATACAAAGTAAAATATGTATATACAAGCAACAACACATAGACAATGGGAAATTCCGTTTGTCGAAATGTTTGTGTAATTAGTAATAAATATTCGTTACATTTATAACTAAAATAAATGAGTAATAATATATCTATTCCCCTAAGTAAATAATATACCCCTTCCCATAGAACTAAGACGTTTGAATATTCCTTTATTGCCCGATCCACAGCCTTCTGGAATTCCTTACTATCCGATATCCGCCATGCATCTTCCTTCTCCTCATTTAAATATCATCTTTACCAATTCCTTCTCACATCCAAAAATGACGTTATACAATAAAATAAATATTGCGAAGCAGATTATGACTGAGGTGAATGGTTGTTAAAATTGATTGAGTTTTAATTTTAAAAATTAACCCATGCTTATTTTATTTTGTTTTCTTTTCATTTAAGTAATGTTTTTTTTACTTTGTTTTTTCTCAAAATAGTGTTATTTTTACTTGTTTTAATATAATTTCACTGAAGATACTGTATATATTCTTCAATATTGACTAATGTAATTTTTGGCCAGATGTAGTTTTTATTTTTTTTTTTTTGTTCATATCCGTCATTCATAAGGGACCTCTTCCCAGAATAAAGTTTACTTTCTATCTATCTATATCTACAGTATTATTATATTTTTATACATCCATTCTAGCAATTTTCTTCTTCACTGTTTCATTTGTTTAAATAGAGTTTTCAAAAAACAAACATTAATACATCACATATCCAATAAATAAGAAATTTCAATAAAACAAAAGTTACAATAAATAAACACGATATTGTATCAATAGTTCACTATCTGACTAATTGAGATCTTTGCAATGTGGGGCCTGCTGTATATAATTGCTTAATAATTCTTCCGGAGAACAGGTTCGCTGCCCATGACATTTCTTTCTTAACTCACTGTACATGCGTCATCTGTACTATTATTTAAGCTACTCTTTTTTAATACGAAGTCCTTTTGATCTCGCAGCCTGCTTCTTTTCGACAGACGAAATATAATGAATACTCTAGGTGCTTGATCTAAGCCAACCAGGCTAGGGCTGAGAGGGAGCGGGCTGAAATGTGACTGCTCAGCGCTGGCCCAGTCTTCTTGGAAGCCGGCTTCCTCTCACCTGACCCAACACCTTACTCCGCTCAAAACGTTATCTCTTCGACCTCTAATCTAGAAGAGGGATCCTTAATCAGTAAAAGTAAAGAAATCATAAATATAAATGGATGTTAAACTGTTGATATAGTTATTATTATAAACATGGTAAAATACAGTTCATACAATTGAGTTTCCATAGGCATGAGGAAGAAACACCTGCTACTAACCGATGATGTAATTAATTTCTTTTAGAATAATAATGGTTCGTTTTTCAATTTTTTTTTCTCTAATCAATCTTACCCAATCACATTTTGATTATTAAAGGTAAAAAAGATTATAAAATTCCATAAATCCTAAGTATTATCTACAAAGAAATCAGTTTACAATTGGCCTGTTACTGTTAAATGAATTCGTTTATGTCAGAACATAATTTTTAATCTGATAATGTCCTATAATTGTAAATATATATTTTTTGGCGCACAATTCAATTCACAGGAATCTATTATCTTCACTATTTTTTTTTATTATTATTTTCAAAAATGAACCATTGTGATCGACCAAAAAATTCAAAAACTTAATCCCCTCTCAAAATTTCACGTTTCAGCATGCATTGAATTCGAAAAACGAATAACATTTTTTTTTTCTGTCAGCCGTCCACGCATTTTCTCCGAAACTACTGGTTTACTCCGAATTTTGATATAAAATCAGAGCTCACCCTGGAGGATGATCCTCCTTCATCGACATTACTATCCGCCTTTTACTTTCAAAATGCGAAAAACCTGCGTTGCTTATATAGACTCTAGCTCCTCAACGAATGAACCGATTTCAATGAAACTTCGCTAAAGTCATTTTTTCTACACCCTTTAAATTTATCTATATAACATACATCAACGAAAAGAAGCTGGGAACAAATTACGAGGGATGGTAAAATTTAATTCCAAATAACTCATAAAGTTTACACTTTTTTGTCGATATTGTTTATGGTTTTTTTAAAGTTTACGAAAATTTATTTAAAAACAAAAACTTACAATTACATCTTACAATTAGGAGCAAAGATATGGTCTCCAGTTTTTTTTTTTAAATGTTCTACTCCAAATGTTATATCCTTTGTTTGGTTTTTAAATTTTGAATGTGTTACTGAAGTAATGCTATTTTTTTTTTTTTTTTTTATCATATTACTAATGATTAGGAAAAAAAAAAGTTTAATCCAATAATTGGAATCACCTTTTATTTATTTTTATTTTTAACTAGGAAGGTAATGTTACTTTAGATGTATAATTGTTTGGAAATAATGAACCATTGTGAAATAATTTGCAGCGTTTTTTTTATTGAATTAGAGCATCCGTACATTTCTGCTTACTATGCATACATTTCAAACAAGCTGTTTTTATTAGGAAATTGGTATGAGTCCACTTTTGGCATTATTATAACTCATGATGAATGAAATCTAACATAAACTTTTTGCCGATAAACATTTTTTGATTATTATGTTTTATTATATATATTATATCTCCATAGTCCATGTGTTGTAACATTTATATGAATATTATATTTTCTGCCACATGAACAATGAATATAAATAAAATATAAAAAAAGCAAAATAATAACTAAAGAATAATTAAATAGTGTATACCATAGGTGGAGAACCGCGTTCTCATAAGTTGAGTGTAGCCTCCGTGAAGTGCGGTCTACAATCTTTACACGATATTTATTAATCTATTGCTAGAGCTGATTAATATTTAAGTGACGATAATTTGGAAATCAATAGAATTATGTTAAATGTGGATGTGTTCATCTAGTGTATCTTGGAGCTTCCTTTTGGAGTAACTTTTTCGTTTGTATGCTCCGTTTAGTTGCAAAATCTAAACATATCCTTAAGAAAGAGTTTTTTTTGCTGCTGTAAGTATTTCTGTAGTAGCGTGTGTTAGCCATTTTGTTTTTTACATGTTTGCACCCGTATGTCTTTCCCCCACGCACCTATAAAAGTTTTTAAAAAATTGAAACTTTACTTCATTATGGTTTTATTGTGTTTAGGTCCTCAATTAGCTAGCATTTATTTTTTTAAATAGTGTTAATAGCGGCTTTGGAATGGTAATTCTAATTCAAGTATTCTCTGGTTATTAGTACTCCACCTCTAGGTTTTTATAGACTTTTCTACAAAGATCATGGAATAATATAGAACTCTTGGGATTAAAAAAAAATGTATATAATATATTTATATATTGCTAGATTAACCAAACAATATGCGGATGTTTCAATTTTTAAAAAGCATATATAAAAAGTCCTCAAATTATTACAGGAAATAAAAAAAACAAAAACGCTTTGAAATTAAAGTATTGCTAACAAAAACATATGGAGACCCGGCCTTTATACGATATATATATAATTTAATGAAAATAAAACAAAGATTCAAGTATGAGAAGATACTATGTAGATTCGAGAGGATATCCTACAGAATGGAATAGGGTGGGAAGAAAGAAGCGGAGGGATGAAAGAAGGTTATTGAAGAGCTATAAATAAAGGTGAGCCGTTTAAAAAAATTGGAGGAGGGGTGATAGCGGCGGGGTGTGTGCCACATCTCCTTTCTGTAACTTTATGTGAGTAATTTTTGTTTGGGGGCGCACCTGGACCGCCGTAAACCACGGTTAGTCCAATCGATGGCTTCCTTATCTTGGAGTTCCAGGCTCCTCAGGAGCTGAGGGGCCCTCCGAGGATTTCCTTCCTGTTTGCGGAGGTAATTAGGGGACTTCCGGTCCACTGTCTGTAATAGGTCACTACGGATCCGATAGTTCGTAATAAATATACTCCAATGTGGAGAAACTATAGTCGTCATTATATATAATATAATAATAATACACCCTAATCAGAACTATCACATTAGATATTCGTCTCACTAATATAGTGACGTCAATGATACTCGTTTATTATTATACAGTGTCCAGTAAGTAGAGGGGAATTTTTATAGGGATGATATCATGCCTCAACAGCTACAAAACAGTTTGTATAAACGATTAACCAATTTCCAGCAGAAAAGTAGTAAATACAAGATTTTTAATTTTTTTACGCGACTCAGGTTTTAAAGTTTGTCATTGTTGAAACCATCTAAAGGGAGTGGGGTAGCTGAGTGGTAGGGTACTGAGCTTCCAATGCTAAAGGTCGCAAGTTCGAACCCCGGCTCATGACAGAAAATTTATTTATCTGTTTCATTGGCCGTTGGATGACCTTGGGTCGGGAGACCCTCCTGGGGTACACCCAGCCTCTATAAAGTGGGTAACCTTAATTATATAATTAGTTAGGCCGGAAAACCTGGCGGTTGAGCGTGATCTCGGTCAAATCACCTCCTTGCACAACCGTTGACCTAGAAACAGTGCTTTCCCTAAATAGTACTTAATCCCAGGCCCTTCATGGGTTGTAGTGGTACAAGTTTTTTTGAAACCATTTAAAGAGGGTTATTATTAAGTGGCTGAACTCAGAAATGTTCAGATACTCCACTTTTAGGAAAGTCACGTCGTTTAATAAGCTTAAGGCCATATTTATTAAGTAGAGGTTCATATGGAAAAAATTTGAGATTTACCTCAAGTTGTGTAAAAAAAAAATAATTTGAGAAGGAATTGGTCGGGAGGTGCGGTCAAATAAATACTAAATTTTTGGAAAAACAGTTTTTTAAATTTTAATTTATTCAGTATTCATTTTTTCACCCAGATCTGTATTATATAAATTTATAAATTACAAAATAAATGTTTCTAGTCCTAAAATATACGGGTAAAATAAAGAAACTTGCTGATTTTATTTTCAATTATTTTCATGAAAACGTTAATAATTGCACCAGGAACATTCAGTTTGTCCGATATAAATACGAATCAATTTCTATAATGCTGATGCGAAAAACACAATTTCATAAACGCGGCGTAATGAAAAATACTATTTTTTATAAATTTGGTATTTATTTCACCGCACTCCCCGACCAATTCCTTCTCGTATTCTATCACGCTCAACCATCTCTACACTATTAATAAAATAATTAATGTTTTATCCTGTCAAGTAAAAGTACTCCTGTTTTCAGCAAAAATGACCTCAAGTTATTTGTTGCACAGCTTTTATTTCTTGTTTTTCCATTATCTGATATGTATTATAATAAACATAATTTCCTAAATATATCTTATTTATTAAAACAATAACGTTAATCAAAATGTGTTTTCACCCAGATCTGTATTATAGAAATTTATGGGCATTTGTAAGTGACAAAATAAATATTTCTAGTCCTAAAATGTATGTGTAAAATAAAAAAACCTGCTGATTTTTTTCAATTATTTTCATGAAAATGTCAATAATGGCATCAGGACCATTTAGTTTGTCCCTTATAAATACGAATCAATTCCTATAATACAGATATGAAAAACTGTTTGACGATTGAATTCAGCATCGATGAGCAGCGAGTTATGCTGAGTTCAGGAACGACCAGCTGTATTCTGTGGAAGGTTTTCCAGATAATCTGGAATAACAAATGTACAAAACAAATTTAAAATAATACATTAGGAAATACGTTCCGAATTTTTGGTTTTGAAAACAGATAAAATGTAGATATAAAGTTAATTGAAAAACTAACACTAAGGTTGTAATGAGATCGAATCCATAGAATCCATCGACCCCAATCGCCGATGGAACCACTGAGCGTCCTTCATTCCATCAATGAGTTTTGAAACGCTCTGATGGGTTTCCCATTCTGTACATGAATTTAAGAAAATTTGGGAATTAAGAATATATGTATGTATGAATGTGTGTATTCAGTGACAAATAATATATTTACATATATTAACTTATATACTTATTAACATATATTAAGTTAAATACACTTTATTTTATTTTTTATATCTTAAATATTTTATGGAACATGTGTATATCATTTTTTTTTTACTATTTATTTCTTTACATATTAACAGTTATTAATATTTTTTTTTTAATTTTTATATTGCATCACTACAATGCTTTGCCTATGAAATTGATTTTGCGTTCTTTTCTAATTTCATTCAGTGATTATTATGCTATTGTTTTAGCCCCAATATTGTAGTTCTTATTCTAAGAGTTATTATACTTAATTTATTACTAGTATTTTGTTATTATTCATTGTTATAGGCCTTTTGGCCAGATTTATCGTTGATTTATATGAACAATACTGTTATTCTAAAGGGACCTAGTCCCAGAATAAAGATGATTTTTCTATATATGGATGTATTTTTTTTTTTAATTTTAATTATTAACTGATTAAAATTAGAATGTAATTTATAATTTTTAATTTTATTACGATTACTTATCTTTATTTAAGTATCTCTGAGGCTCCTTAGCCCATATTTATATCTTTCTGTATTCTAAAGGGACTCGTCCCAGAATAAATAAAGTATTATTATTAATATTATTATTTAGTAACAAATAAAAATAGAAGCAAAATATAAACTATTGCTACGGCCTCCATTATCACTGCCTGACTTTATGGCTAACGCGAGAAACTACAAACTATTTTAATATATTTAAAAAGTATTTAATCACACACACACACACACACACACACACACACACACACACACACACACACACACACACACACACACACACACACACACACACACACACACACACACACACACACACACATATATATTTAAATTTTAATCCAACGCAGACGTTTAGTAATAACGAATGAATATTCCGTGAAGTATATTGGTTCAAAGATACTAAAGTTCGCGACCGAAAATAGATCGTTTAATCGCTCGTATACCTGGCGTTTCAGTCAGAGGGAGCCGTCACTAATCCTGACCGGAAGGAAACTATAAACCTGAAGAATGTCTCCCTTTGAGAAGGTAATGCAGACTGGAAATAGAAGCTGCAGGTGGTACCAATATGGCGCTCGGGGTCCTATGTTATATTTATCCATCGGCTTATTTAAATACAATTTTCGTAAATCAAAGGAACTGGTCGCTTCCTTTATCGGAATGCAGTAAAGTCCCCTCCCCCGTTGTTTATTACATAGAGCTCCCTCTTTATGCACCATTTCCAGGCGTTCTTCGGGGGCCTTCCTGTACCAGAGTGTGTCTCTAAGAAATCCTTTATCGTATAAGAGAGGTCCTGCATATACAGAGGATAAAGTATTTCAAATACTATTTATATGTATAATATTTCTTTCGTTTACGTGATATCAAGGATTTTATTTTTTAATGAGAATCTTTAATTCAGAAAAATATGACTAACTTATTAAGCTTATATAAAGTTATGGATTGCTACAGTAACATGGACTAATATAAAAAATTTTTTTTTGAGAATTACAAATACATATTTATCTTCTTACATTATAAAAAAATGTTTACTGTATTTTCTTATATTATAAATGTTTATAATAGAATAGAATAGAATAGAAAAATAATTTTATTCTGGGACGAAGTCCCTTCAGAATAACAAAAAAGTACAGAAATTAAAATTTTACATCTGGCCAGATAAAAACAAACATAACAAATTAAGATAATGATAGGTCATTAAAGAAAAGAAAAGAAAAAAATATGGGTTATACATACTATATACAAAATAAAATAAAAAAATCTATATAAAAAACTCTTGAAACCATACTAAGATACTTAAAACTATGTACGATGTTAAAATATAAATAAACCCTTTTAGAAAAAATAAAAAATACAGAAAAAATAAATGTATATTCTTCTTAACAGTAAAATCTGTTTCTGTTGAAAAAGAAAAAAAAAAAAAAAAAAGAGAAAAAGAAAGTCGAATCTATAATAAGTATTCAGGTCATGAGCTATATGTGAATATGGTCTTATATATAATGTGTAATTTTACATAAAAGATTAGCTGGTGCCTGACTGTTTTTGGGACAGGAATTGGAATAGGAGGGTTTTGAATGTAGATAAGGATGAAGAATGTCGAATTTTGATAGGAAGGGAATTCCAGAAACTAACAGAACGTGCAATAAAGGAGTTTTGGAACGAGGCAGATCTGTGAGAAGGAATGTAAAGGTCGGAAGGTCGAGATCTTGTGGAGAGGGAGTGGACTGAGGACTTGAATTGGAGAAGGTTGTAGGCGTAGGAAGGACGATGATTGTTGATGATATGATATAGGAATGTACCTAGGAAATATTGTCTTCGAATGGAGGGGAAGAGCCACTCTAACTCAGTGTAGTGGTGAGAGATATGGTAGTATCTCGGGGCACCAATTAATAATAAGGAGATATTGATCTATTTGTTCAAACTGTTTACATATGTCAGGACTTATCGTTCATTATACTCATTTTGGGGAAAATAACTTCAATAAAGATTACTTGAAGGCCCTTGCGAATAATTCACATAGAATATTTATCAGTGAAATAATAACAATATAATTTAAAAAATAAGTTTATATGTATTATGTAATAGAAGAAATAATTTTCTTTTTTTGTTTCAGTCAAATCACATTAGTTTAGTTTATTCAAAATAATAAACGAAAACGTGTACATTAATAATGGTCTGCTTTCAATATTTTTTCGTTTGCTTTTGAAGGCAGTTTAGTAAACTTTGAAATAAGCATGTATATTACATATTTATGTAAAAAATGTATATAAACCTGAAAAAAAATTGTTTAACGCGAATAAACTTTCTTTTCCTTCATAACTTTTGTTCTTGAAATTTCGTCTACTAATATTACGTCACTACTCCGTGAAATCCTCATATATTTGATACCTCAGTCATCGAAATCCATCGCTCTTGAGAGTCGGAAACGGGATCTTCAGTAGTGAAATTTTTCATATTATAAATAAAGACAGATGAAGTTGAAGTGGAATTAATTTAAGCCATTAACTGTTGACTTGGAATAAATCTTAACTAATCCACTCTGATTAGAGTAGGTTTAGTGGTGCTTTTAGAACAACCACCCTCCCTCGACCGTTTGTCAGGAATAACGATGTACAGGTTAAACAAGAAAAAAAAAGTTTGCGCAGCCCTGACGGACTCCTACAACTTAGAACGAAACGTTGATACAAAATAAAATAATTTGTTATAGCTGTTTCGTTTTTCATCTAAATAGTAATATGTGGAAATACTTTTCAGACAAGATTAATATTGTTTATATATTGTATGTGTGTATATATATTGCTCAGAAACCTGGACATACGTGATTTTTTTCAATCTCCCAGTCAGTAAATAGGTAGGATTGGGGAGAGGCGGTATTGTGGTCCAATGGATGGTGTAAAGCATCCATCAAACGGAAATAATTCAAAGCTTGTCCCCTGTCCTAGCCATCCTCTATATATTTCTTCTGCCATTTTTTTATTTTTGCCCCAATAGGCTTGTTCACACCTCCGCTGCCTCCTGTATTAATGTTCTCCTCACCCCACACCAGAGCCTTGTATGTTATACTGGGTTCAAAACCTGATTTTTTATTTATGGACATTTAAAAAAAAGTAATCAATTAAAAGAATTAGAGCAAACGTTTAATGCTAACGTTTATCACTTAAGCCTTGTTTACATCATTATAACTTCTGTCATAGTAGTATTGTCATGACAGAGTGACAGATATACTAGTTCCTGGTACAAACACCTTTTTATCAGATTATTAATATTCTCCTAAAATTCCGTGAATGATTTCATTTTTTATCAACGAAAATTTTCAGAAATGGTGCAGTTTCAATCTCGAAATCGGAAACTTTTGTCAATTTCATTAGGTACCAAAAACTCATGAACACCCATTTGCTTTCTACTTAAATCGTAAGGTAAGTTGATCAAGAAATAGAGAAAAAATATGGTCTACAAAGATATTGGGCCGTTTGGCGTGACCTCTACCCTCAACATGTCAAAATAACGAGGTATATAGGCCAAAATGCTCAGTATTTGTGTAGGCCACCTTTTGTTTCTATTTTGTGATCAAATTATTTTAAATATAAAATTTGTAAGTATGATGAGATGAAGCCATTTTCGAAGTTTTAGGCGGAAGTCTATAAAAAGGGGGACTACAGTTTTTGTTTTGCAATTATATTCTTATTTAATTAAAAATTCCTTTACTGTTACCGCCCCCAAAAGTACGCCATAGTCTGTTTGTCTTCTTATTTCTTTGTTCTCATTTCTAATGATTAAGGTCTCATTTCGACGATTTTCTTCTCCTTCAGGTGGGAAAAGTCACTCCCCTCCCCTCCCCTGATATTTCAGGACAAAAGTTATGAAGGAAAAACAACTTTTACTTTTGAAAAGTAAATATATTTCTTATGTTTATGTTTTTTAGTTTTAATGCTATAAACCTTAAATCCTTGATTATAATATAATGACCCACTGTAACATTTACAAGGATGGTCACAGTGGGCTACCTATTTCAACCAATTTTTTGGGTGAATTAATTTCTTTAAGAATAACTTTTTCGTTTGTATGCTCCGTTTAAATATGCCCTTAAGAAAGATTTTTTTTTGCTGCTACATGTATTTCTGTAGTAACATGTGTTAGCAATTTTGTTTTTTACATGTTTGCACCCGTATGTCTTACCCCCATGCCCCCATAAAAGTTTCAAAAAAATTAAAACTTTACTTCATTATGGTTTTTTTGTGTTTAGGTCCTCAATTAGCTAGCATAATATATTTTTAAATGGTGTTAATAGCGGTTTTGGAATAATAATTTAAATTCAAGTATTCCCTACTTATTAGTACTGCATCTCTGAGTTTTTATAAAATTTTCCACAAGGATTTCGGAATAATATAGAACTCTTGGGATTAAAATAAATAAATAAATATATATATAATGCTGGATTAACCAAACAATATGTGGATGTTTCAATTTTTAAAAATCAAATAGTCCACAAATTATTACAGGAAATAAAAGAAATGACGTTTTGAAGTCTAAGTATTGTTAACAAAAACATATATAGACCCGCTCTTTATACGATATGTGTAAAAATAAAACATTGCGTGCAAATGTAGCTCTCATTCATTTCATTTTCATTTAAAAAAAAATTGAAATACCCTGTTTGTCTCATAAACTAAATTTAAATTTATACGTGAAATTTCTCTTTCATCTATATTTATCAGGTTACCTAATCCTAATCTATTGTTCAATAAGAATTAAGTTTTCTCTCACTTTTAAACAGGTTTAACATAATTTTTTTTCAAAGGCTGTGAAATGTGATTAAATAAGTTTTCTATATATTAGTGTTATAAATTAAACTAAATATGTGGATGTAAGTTTTTTTCCTACTGTTTACAAATATTTTTGACTTCTAAACAGCAATTAAACCACGATTGTAATTTGTGTAACCACAAGTTTTAGTTTTATAATACCCTCATACCAGACTGAAACCACTAGAAACCGCCCTACGTTTTCGACTACTGCAGCACTTACTAGACAAACGCTCTAAACTTCCAACTATTTACAAATGAATTATATATATTACTATAATAATTCCTATTTGAAGTTACAGGATCGAACTTTGGGGCCCTACTAAACCATCATCACATTTCTCTCCTTTCCAATCCTTACAATCTAAAATCCTTCGTAAAATCCTCAATGCTCCCTACTTTGTCACAAATAAAATCATCCATAACGACCTTAATGTACCATATGTTTCCGATTTAGCTCAATCCAGATACCTATCCTTCCATAATAAACTTCTTAACCATCCGAGGCGTCTGAAAAGAAGATGGCCTCGCGACCTTCTAATATAGAAATATAATTGGAGTGCTACCAATGGGTAGTTTCTCAATGTTATGTTAATTGTTTCATATTTACTTGTTGTATTTATCATTTAATACAATTGTAAATTTCAATAATAAAAATAAAAAAACTTATAATAAAAAAAAAAACTGTGATGTGTTATTAAGACCGCACGATAGATCTGAAATCACTAACAAGGTAAGATTAATAATCTGAAATATAAATTATAAATAATACCTCTTTATAAAGAGGATGAAATGCTGAACATTCCTTTCCCTTTCAGTATGCAGGTCTGATTTTTAGTGTCTGAGATGTTTTAATCCATACCTTCAATTAAACTTTTTATCATTTGGTTTTGAACTCTATTTTTTCCTTTTCGCCTCTCTAACACGGCGTCGCGTTAAGATATAATTTTGAATAATAGCTCATTAAAAAGAGGATGAAATGCTGAATTTTTCCCTCGTTTATAATATGCAGTTTTTTAGTTTTTAAAATATTTTAATCCATACCTTCTATAAAACTCGTTATCAAGTGATTTTCGACACTATTTTTCCTTTTTCATCTCTCTAACGCGGCGTCGCGTTATGATGCAATTTTGAATAATAGCTCATTAAAAAGAGGATGAAATGTTGAATATTTCCCTCGCTTACAATATGCAGTTTTTTAAAATATTTTAATCCATATCTTCAATAAAACTCGTTATCCTTTTGTTTTCGACACTATTTTTCCCTTTTCGCCTCTCTAACACAGCGTCGTGTTAAGATATTATTTTGAATAATAGCTCGTTAAAAAGAGGATAAAATGCTGAATATTTCCCTTACAATATGCATTTTTTTAGTTTTTGAGATATTTTAATTCGTATGTAAAAACACCAATTAATTGAAGCCAGGAGGGGTCTTTACTGAGAGTGTTACATCTGACGTTCAATCTAATCCACTCTAGGTAGATTTTTTTTTTTAAATTTTTTTTATTACAGATTCTTGTACCCTACTTTTACATATTTTACATCGTTCTTGTTTTGCAATTTTGAGTTTTTACCTGCACAGTTTTCGCTGTTTTTTTTTACTCAAATATCTTGTCTGCAATGATAACGATTTTCATTGATGATAGAGAATACAGATACTAGATTAGGTGTTGTGGATAGTATTCAATATTTCCCCGGTCAGGTATGACGAAGGCTATCTTCTCCCTGAATCGAGTTCTCGGAACTCTATGTAGGCATTTCTCTGTCGGAGTCCAACACCTAGCTTCCATCTGCTGATCCTGAGCTTTACCTCGGCTCAGTGGTGTTACTAATCTCTTCTAGGTTATGTGTCTGTCTTTCTATGGGCTACCGATGGATTCCATGTCTAATGTCTATAGTACAGGTGAGCTTATATATAATATGTCTAGGTGGTATCATATTTTTATATCCACAAAGTTCGTCTTATTATACCATGACAATAATGATAATATTTTAGTACAGAAGGAAGTCTATAAAAATTGCAGCGAGTACAATTTCCGATGAAATGAAAAATCATTAATAATAAATGAATTGGTAAATAACGTAATAATAAATTTTTAAAAAAATGCAGACATACGTGTACACATTCAAAATGATTGCCCAATTCGATAAGATCACCTTAAAATGGTACGAATTATCAATATAGTTAATATTTTTTTACATTTATTTAAATCAGACATGTATTCATTTGGGTATTTAAAAATATTTATCCTACGTTTTTAATATGCGTGTGTGTGTGTGTGTGTGTGTGTGTGTGTGAGCGCGCGCGTGCGTGCGTGTATGCTTATTAACCTACAATAAAAAAAAATCTGCCATGTAAGGTCAGCACAGCTTCCTCATCGTTTTCATTGGGTCAAAAATATCTATATTACAACATCTAACATTTTTCGTATGAGAATAAAATCTCTGACAGAAGCCGTATTCTTAAATTCAGTAATCCGTCAACATCTACGTGTTTGATATTCACGAGTTTTGTACATTGAATACTAAAATGTGAAAGAGTTCTGCATTTGCAGATTGCATATTTGATGATATGTGATTTAAAAAAAAAAAATCCAGTCCATACTGAACATTAATATCACTACTGTTAGTGCAAAAGACCGTATGAAAAAAAATGAATGTTTTGCAGGAAACCATAAGAACTAATTGTTTCTGCTTATATCAATTGCAGACTACAAAATATCACCTTTAGCACAAATAGAATGAAAGTTGAAAATATTTACATATGACCTTTTGCACTAACAGTAGTGATATATACTTAATAGAAAAATTCCAACTTTTTATTTGTTCGAAATTAACTCTAATATAAAAATATGTGTGAAGTTCACACAGCTTTGATATTTAAGAATGAAATCGAGACCAAATCGAGCTAGTTGAACTTCCATAGAAATAAACACAATCACAAATAAGTATTTTTTTTTTTTTTTTATACAAACTGAGAGTAAAAATTAATTTAAATTTAATAAAAATTGCAGAAAATATAAGTAACGGCACTAATTGTCATCTCAGTAATCGACCAAACAATACATTATAAATTAGCTTGAATAAAACCTAAAATTTTATAA